TATTCATTGGAGAGTCTCTTTAAATTCCTCCTTGTCAAAACCATGCAAGCCCTTGGCGAGCCCATTTTAAGAGCTGGTACCTGTTCCAAGCACTAATGGCTGCTACAGGGAACAGAAAAGCGAGGCTGAAGGCTACGATGTTCAAAGCTGCCTTAATTATTAGAGCGTGAGCTTCCAAATCCCTTGAGAAGCCCAGAGAGTGTTGGCCTCAAAATTCACAGTGTGCTCAGAGAAGCCAGGGAGTTTTGGGGACATCTTGACTGCAGTCTGTCTGCCTGGCTCCACCGGACTTGGAATGAGTCCGATTCATTGCAGCAGCTCTGAATTCAGAGCAGAGGGAGCAGACAAGGCTCATTGCCTATTCCAGCCAGGGAGACTGCAACAACATTTGTGGTTTTCGTTTTTTCTTTAAAATAAGGTTACTTGAGTAGACAGCCAGGAACAGACCCTCTGTCTCCTCATTCCTAGACTGAGCCCCGCTGAAAATTATGCACAAACTGTCAGGGCTGCTTTGGAGAAGCAGTTCTAGAGCTAAAGCAGCCTGACACGGCTTTGTGCAAAGCTTTGCCTGGAGAAGTGGTGTCCTCGATGACCACCAAAGTCCAGCAGGCAGAGCTGGGACCATTCAGACCCTGCACAGTGCAGCAAGAACTTTTTCTCTCAGACACTAATTTTCCTGAAGGATGGGCAGCCTGGCCAAGGGGGGCATGGATTCATGTTATTCCTGAGGAAAAATGTATTCCTGTGCAAAGGAAATCTCTGGATATGTCGGTGCATCTGTTTGCAATGTGAAATGCGTGATGCTCCCTCCTTGCTTCGTACCCTGCTCCAGTATTTATCCACCCAGCAAGCCATCACTGCCTCATCTTCAGGACTGTGCTTCAACTTAGACATCAGCAATTTCCCCTGCCACAGGCAATCAGTGAAATTACCTGATTTAAGGCCAGAGGAGTCAAAAATGTCACACTTTAGAAAACTCTTTCCACAGCTTCATTGCTTTTGCACATCTCCATGCTGCAGACAGACGCAGTAATTTCTTCCATTTGCACCAGGCTGGAGGACTGACCATGGGTGATGGCACCACTTTCCAGGCAGGATCCTGAGCATCCTCCTCCAGCATCCAGCTTCAGCCACCCTCTCCTGACCTGCACTGCTGGGCTCTGTTTGTCCAAAGTAAATTCAGGCAGATTTTCCTGTTGATCGTAGGGATTTTGCTTGCTCAGGTGGATCACTGGTTTTATTTTATTTATTTTTCTGCTAAAAGTCTGTTCTATGCAGATAAAACCCCAGGTCAGTCACGCCACAGGTAACTTCCAACCAGGGCACAAGGATTCATGGATGTTGGTGCTGTCTTTTCATTTCTTGGGAGGGATGGGGAGAGGGTTGGATGCTCTCCCGCAGTGACAAGGTTTGCAATTTCGTTTTAAAAGCCTGTAATCATCTCACTTCTGTGAGCTATTCAGGCATTTACATTGTTTTTCAGCATCTTGAGTGCTGGCTGGAAGCAGCTCCAGGGTTTGGGGGAGTGCAGCAGGATCGCTGTGGGGGGCTGTGCTGACAGGCACCCCCACACTGAGCAGAGAAGGGCTGTGCTCCTGCCCACAGGTGAGCAGGTTCCTCAGTATTGTCTTTTATCAGAAAAGAAAAAGGGGGGAAAAAACCCCAACAGATCAATTCTGCTCACATGAAATTTTAGCTGAACTTCAACTAATAAACACCAAAGGATAAAGAAATGCCACGAAAACAAAAGTCCTGTTGTGACACAGCCATGGCTGAGGTTCATTCATTTTTTAGAGATTGTTTTTCCTTTTCTCCTCCTGGCTAGAAATGAGATTTTCAGAAAAGAGACAGCATCACCAGCATACAAACACATATCAAAAAAGGAGCTGACTTTCCCTGTGGGTGCAGCCATCTGACACAGGACACAGGGTAGACACAGAGACCTGGATGGGAGCTCCCTCTCTCCATCCCCCATAGTGGTAATGTGTACCTGCACCATCTGGGAACCCAGGGAAAAAACCTAACAGGCTCATGGGTGATATTTTTCCCCGTTTCCCCCTTGCAGATATGCCATCCCTCTGGCAGCGTTTTCTCCCCGTAACCCATGCTGGGAGGCTGGAACTGCAGCTGGGAGCATGGAAAGCCAGCTCTTGTCTCACTTATGACCTTTCACCAGGAGAGAGGGGATCCCATAACCATTCACCTCACTTACAGGGATCCAAAGGACTCCCTGCTTTGCATCAGCCACCCCTGCAGAAGTTCCAAGGTCAAAATGCAGCCCTTCACATGAGTCAGTCCTTGCCCTGAGGAGCTGCAGTCGGAGGAGACCAGAAGGCAGGAGAACACTGATTCCCTAAGTCTGTGCCATCTCGTCTCCATGCTGTCATGCCATCTGTGGGCTTTATCCCAGGAACTCCTGTCACATCCACTCCCATTAGCATTTTTCAATGCTCTCCTGCCCTTTCCCAGCATCTGCTGACCAAGTCCCTCTGGTCAACACTGCTCCTCATCCTTCATCAAGGCTTTTAATTTTCATGATGCTGTTACCCACTTTTGCTGCACTCTGCCCTGCAGCAGCTCAGCACACGAGCTGCAAACCAGGCAACCCAGCTCGCTAGCAAAGAGAGCTTCCAGACGGGGATTGAGCTGCTATTAATTTATCCTATATTTGTTTTGAAAAAATGCCTGGGGAAGGTACACCGTTTCCCTTTCCAGTTAGAGGCTTAACAGCCACAGGTGTTCTCCTTTCTCAGAAATGTAAATCCATGTTTATTTTGCATGTACCTGATCAATCCCCAAGGCATTGTATCCAACAGGCCAAAATCAGAGTTCTGTCCCCACCAAAACACTTCAGGAGAAAGAGAAGAGGTAGACATGTTCTACCTTTACTTTCGCCCTAACAACACCTTTACTTTAGATGTTTAGAAATATCTATTTCTTTGGGACCAAGGCAGCTGCATGGAGTATAAATTATTTTAACTGGTAAGCCCAACAGGACTCCCTCCCTCTTAAAGCAGAAAGGGAAGACTTGGAACATCCATTTCCAGAGTGATCACTGAGGAGCAGCCAGACTTCAATTCCCACGAGGCTCTTCAGAGGGCTTGATCATTCAGAATGCTCTCACATATACAAAATACTAATCTACCTGCTGCACCAGCCATAATCTGCTCCCAGTTAAAACTTGTGCAACTCTGCTGATGCCAATTTATGAAGCAAACATTTAATTTAGCGAGCAGGCTCACAATCCTAAATTTAAACATATGTCAAGCCAGCTAGTGGCTTTGTTTTAATTAACTCCCAAACTTTGTGGCTGGCATTTCTTTATATAAACGGGGATGTTCTGCCAAGGGCAGCCTGTGAGCCTGTGTGCATCCCTACGAAACCTCCTGCTATTTCACAGCCACTTTTCAAAGAGCTCTTGCAGAGGCAAGGGGATGTGGATGTTATTATAAGGGTCCATATGGCAGTACACTGGCACTGCAGCATTAAATCAGAGGTATTGTAGCTTTCCAGCCTGGATTCTCACAGTACCAGGTAATGTATATGTAGCTTTATTGTTGTACAATTTTAGTGGCTATGCATTATTCAGGAGCAGCCTAAGTCTCTGCGCTGCCGGAGGTGATTCAGTGATGATAAAGGGAATACGCTTTGCTCTAAAGGCAGGAGTGAAGGGATTTCACGGGTCGCTATCTTCTCCACCCACGGAGAAACAATGGAAGCGTTAACACTTCTGGTAAAGAAATCAGCTGGCGACAAATTCTCATCGATAATTAAAATGAAAGCACAAGCTGCCTTAACATGTAGTTAGACTTAGGAACTGTAACCTGCTCTCTAAATTAAATGCTTTCCTTGATAATTTGGCTCTCGCAGCAGACACTGAAATCTGCTGGAAGATGCCATCTAGTGGGTTATGGAAGTTTATTTAAGTTTAAATCCACTTGCTGGTGTGGGGCGAGGGTGGCAAGAGCTGCAAATGTGGGGTGCACAATGGTTTCCGTAAACTTTTTGTTGTTGCTCCAGGAAATTAGGTATTTCCCTGCGGAGGTTTGCATTGGAAGAGAACTAATATTTATTTTACCAGTGCCCAGCAGGGCACCGGATTGTCACAGCTTCGCTGTTGACACAGCCGAGCCTGACGGCTGTTGTGCTGGCAGAGCATCTTCCTGAGCGCCGGGGCTGCCTGCTCTTCATTGAGGAAACGGATCCGCTCCCCATTTTTGGGAAAGCTCTGCCGCCATTGTTTGTTTTTCCTAAAAAGGCCCTTCAAACACTATCCTATGCTTCTAAATTATATAGTTTACATTATAGTTGAAGCCACTTAATTGCTATCCGACAGAACAGCACTGTTTTTTAATGCGAGCCATGGGTGGAGGTGGATTTGGAGCGATCGTGCCTGTTGGTGTGGCCGGCGATGGCATCTCCATCCGTGGTGGAGGAGAAAGGATTGTCCCCTCCTGGTTCTTGTGGGCCCGTGGGGCGAACTCCAGCCCTTCGGGGACCACCTGGACCCTTCGGGGAGCACCTACAGCCCTTAACCTTCATCCTGCTCTGCTTCTCCCAGCCCAGCCCCCGCTCCCATCTAAGGGCTCCCCCCCATTAAGGGGTTTTAAGCCAATTAACCACCTTAACTCCCCCCCCATCGGCGGTCGGTTCGAATCCCGCTCCGGCGGCACCCGCCCAGACACCCCGCCGTGCCGCGGCATCCTCGGAGCGCCGTTCTTAGAGAGTCATTAGCGGGGAGTCATTAGCGGAGGGTCATTAGCGGAGGGTAATTAGCGGGGAGCGGGGGCGGGGTCTCCCCGGGCGGTGGGCGGGGTTTCGGAGGCCACGCCCTCCGCGCGCGGAGCGGAAGTGCCGGAGTTGCCGCCCGGCGCCGCCGCCGAGCGCGGGCGAAAGTTGCGCTCCGGGAGCGCGGCGGGGGCGGCGGGACCGCGCTCCCTCCTCAGCCCCGGCTCTTCGGCCCCATCCCGCTGCTCAGCCCGCTCCCGGCAGCCGCTCCGATGCGGCGGAAGCAGAAGCGGCTGCTGCAGGCGGTGGGGCTGGCGCTGGCCGCCCTCGTCTTCTTGCCCAATGTGGGGCTCTGGTCCCTGTACCGCGAGCGGCAGCTGGAGGGCGGCGGCGCGGCCGGCGGGGACGGGGCGCCTGCGGCGGGGGCAGCGGTTGGTGAGGCGCCGGTGAGTGGGGGGGCTGAGCGGCCCCGAGTGTGCCGGGGAGAGCGGTGGCAGCCGCTGGGTGAGGGTCGGGAGGGTTCCCGTGGCAGCCGCTGGGTGAGGGTCGGGAGGGTTCCCGTGGCAGCCGCTGGGTGAGGGTCTGGGGGGACTCCCCTGTCGCACGGGGCGTGTGCGGGGCTGGGTGCGACCCCCTCGCCGTCACAGAGGGGGCCGAGAAGCGGCAGCCGCCCCCATAAGAGGAGGGGGCAAGGGAGGGAAGCCGGGTGGGCTCCCGGCTGTGAAGGAGATGTTTTATGTCTCCTGTGCCTGCGTTGGAGGGGGAGCGCGAGTACTTTCTCGGCAATTCGCGGGTGCGGAGACGGGAGGGTCTCATTGCCTTTTTTTGGCTGAGCGTGGTAAGGAAATAAAGCAAGGTCTTTGCTTGTTGCGCCAAGGAGCGAAGAAGGGGAGCTCGTCCCATCCGTGCACGGAAAGAGTGGCAGTTCTGTTTCCCTAGGGAGTGCCTCCGTGCCATTTCTCTTCACCTGCCTTGCAAGGGCGTGGGGCGCAAACATCACCTGTTACTCTGCGTCCCCGCAGAGCTCAGGGCCAGGGCTAGCAGGGAGTACCAGGTGGAGCTGGAGGATTATGTCAGCGATGCTCCTTTGGGAAAAGAGAATAACTCTTCCTGAGAGGCAGAGGATGCCTGCCGGATACGTGGCCTGAGGATGTTGCAACACATGGCAGCATTCCTTTCTTGTGCCACTGGTGTAGTAGTAAATTTAACATCCAGACCTGTGTAGTGTGTGAGTGAGGATGGCTGGATTGGAAGCACAGTTTAACTGCACTTACTTTTGGCTGTGTAATTGCTTTGTCCCCTTCTGGGTTTAGCTTTGTGCCATTAAGAATGATTGGGACTTGAAAGCTTGAAATGTCATTGTGTAACTATCAGTTCAGCTGCCACTCTAAAAGGCTCTGCTTGTTCAAAACCACTTAAAACTCTTAGTTGTCTAAATCTTTCCCTCCTTGGAGACTTCCTGCTGTAACTGCACCGTAAAGGTGGAGAAACCTGCTGTGACAATTTCTGCTCTGAGGGAGAGAAGGCTCTCAAAAAGCTGTACTCAAACTGGGGCTGAGCTCTTCTTTCCCCAAGAAATGCTTTTTCAAATTCAAGCTTTTCAGTGTAAGTCTAGATGAAACCATGCTTGTGTCCCATGCAATTGGGGAAAGGGCTGTTGCCTGTCATAAAACATACATTTGCAGCAAATCCTCAAATCTGTGCAGAAGTCCTTTTGATGTGATCATGCAGTGATCATTACATGCCTGGAGTTCCTGATGTTACTGCCTTATGCTTGTGTTTCTGTGAGATGCAGGGAATCTATTTTGCATGACTGGTGAAAATCAAGCTCTGCTCCGTAACTCCATGTGGCACAATGTTAGGGCGAAATGAAGACCTCCGTAAAATCATGTGTCCTCCAGAGATAATGAGGAGAAAGTTGATAATTATTCTTTAAGAGGCTTCAAAGTGACAAGTTGACTTGAACAGTTTTGGTCTTCCAAAATTGTCCTTGTACTGTGGGCTTTGGGTAGGTGTAAACCAGGCAGTGTCTCTCTGCTGATTTCAGTGTCCTTGCAGTGTTCTCGGTGTTTAGGTATCCTGAGCTGCCTGTGTTGTACACAATGCCTGTTCCATTTTTCTTTATGTCTCTGTAAAGTATGGCAGCTGTCAGTGAATTGAGATCTGCTTTTGTTTTGATGGTGTGTGGAGCTGGGCAGAAAACGCCTGTGCAGCTCGCAGGAAAATTTGCAGTAAAACCTCTCTGCACTTGTGTAAATCAGAGTTGCTGGGTTTTAGGTTGAAGGCTTCATCTTCCAGTCTAATTAACGTGGACTTATGGGCTGCAGGGGGTCTGTGAGTGAAGATGTATTTGTGTCATGTGCTTATTTTTTGAATGATTTGGCCCTGCAATGATAGCTCCAGTTGCATTGAGCAAGGAAAAACATAGCCTAAAGGACAGCAGGCTGTCTTGGTAAAAATAATTTCAGATGAAGCAGAATAAAAACAACTCGAATGTGATTTTGTTTTTCTGTTTGTTTGTGTGGGTTTGTTTTGCTGTTGTCATAGAGGTATCTGCCAGCTGACTGCAGAGAGTTTTTTGGGCATCCTCACAATCAATGGTTCCAGCCTCTCTTCCTCGGTCCCGACAAGCATTCATGGGTTTTGTACTTAATAATCAACTTCCAGCTTGCAAATGAATATGCTGTTTGTCTGCTTGTTCCCAATGCCGTTTGAAAGAGCTGACTTCTTAATACAAAAACTCCAGATGATAGGAGAGAATATAATGAAAAAATATATTCAGAGCAGTCAGAAAAGATTTTCTTCTGTTTCTGGCTTTAATTTGCCTTTTTGTGCAGGCTAATCTTTGAATTGAGGACATTTCCTATGTACTTCAGAACTGAGCTTTTCAATGAAATCTCTGTCCAGGCTCATTCTTTCTCTTTAAATGGTGTCTGCTGTTTCAGTCGGTAGTTTTATCCCTCAGAGTAACAGCAGAAGGGGGAAGAAGGTTTTAAGAAACAGCTGAATTAAAGCTATAAAACAATCCCTAGAACCTTGGCGTGATGCTAAAATTTTGAAGTTTGAAACTATGCAGGAGTTCTTGTTGTCAGTGTGTGCTGCATGTTACCTTCAGTAACACGGCAATATACATCACTATAGGTGATTTGGCTTTATTTAATCTTTCTAGTGCCTAAAAGAAATGTATCAGAAAATTAAGCAATCAGAAACAATGTAAATATATTCTAGGAAAGATTATTCTAAACGGTTTCTGCGGAAGTGCCTAGGCAGCTAATTGCTTCTGTATTTACATGTTCAGGGGAAACATTATGGTGGCTGAAAATAGTGTCTTGCTTTAATAAGGAGGGTGAAGTTTCTGCTCTTTCCTTCTGCCTTTGGGTTTGCTCTTTTGCAGCTCTGTGGGTGCTTCCCGCTCCACAGAGGAGAGAAGTCATCAAGGTCTTGGCCTCAAGGTCGTGCTGCAGATCTCCATAGAAAAGCTGAAGCTTTGAGTTAGTCCTCACGTAACTGCTGTGTGCTCAGAAGTGGCCTCTGTCGCTCTGTACAGTGGCTCAGCAGAGGAGATGATCTGGGATGTCCTTTTTTCCTGGGGTGTGTAACAGGTCTGGCTTCAAATAGGGATGGTGGCATCGTGGTACTGAAGTGTTTCTGCTGACAGCTTAGAAGCTGCTTTCACTTCATGACTGTACTGTTTGCTCACCACTACGTGTGTCTCGGTGTGCTCACGGAATGCAGATTGACTTTTCTGTAGATTCATCTTTTTCTTTTTTTAACAACTATTCAATAAGTAAAAACATACGATCTGTGGGTGTGGGGGTAGGAAGAAGCAAAAGGAATGCAGCTATTCCTTTTGTCTCTTGGATCTCTGCTGTCTGCCTCAGAGGCTGCTGAGCATCCTCAGCCGAAATGTTTAATTGATGTGGATGTAGCTTTGCAGTGTGTGAACCCTGGATGAGTTAGACTGTGGGCTGGTGGTTTATGCTTGGGCTAATGCAAGTATTTTTGTGGCTTCCAATGCTCTGCAGAGCTACTGCTCTGCACTTCTGTGTTCAGGCTGGAGATCTGCACTCGGTGTGAAACCTGCTGTTCTGGGAATGTGGCATTTGAGCTCGGAGAGATACTAAGCTTGAAGGTTTTTCTTTGAATTGCTGGCTAAAAGCACTGTAGCAAATTAGCTGCCTTTCGTGGCAGCACGTTTTTATCTGATATGATGAATGCTTTATGGAGTCACCCTGTAGCTTGTTGTAGCAGTAATTTGTGCTCTATAAATTAACTCGGGAGCATGATGGAAGTGTATAAATCACATCGGTGATTGTGTGGTGCCCTCTGCTGCCGGCCGGCTGGAGTGATGTGGGGTACACCCTCCTGCTGCTTCCTTGGCAATAGGAAACCAACTACAAACCTGGGATTGAAAAATGGCTTGGGAGGATGCTGCTGTTGGAAAGTTTGGGGAGATAAACTTCGGCTTCAGAGTCATTGAGCCTAAAGTTTGCAGCCAGCATGGCTGAAAATGCAGCCCTGGTGATGATCTGAGAGGGGAGTGATGCTCTGCCTTCCAGGCTGCCACTGCTCGTGTCCTTCTCAGCTGGGGAAGGGGACAGGCTTTGCTCTTCTGACCTGGGGGCAGCTGTGAGGTTGTCAAGGTTTGTCAGCATCGTGGTGTGGTTGGCAAAAAAACTAATGAGGAAGAGGGTGTTTGTTAAAAAACAGGGTCAGGGCTGGGGAGGGAGGAGAGGGGCTTGGGGAAAATTAGAGGAAAACCTTTTCTGCTCTCTGACAGCCAGAAGGAAATTGGACAACCAGCCTGCTGTATTTCACAGGCAGAGTCTTCTGGCAGGTGGACTGGTCGTGTCCTAGACCTTGCTGCTGCTCCTGTCGGGGGCCTGGCTCTCTGTAGACCTCCTGGGCACTGCTGTGGTGGCAGCTGTGTTTGCCAGGCACTCATCAGCTGATGTAAAGGGAGACTTTGAAAAGCTTATTTTTGTAAGTATAGTGTAAAACAATTGGCATCAAAGGACTGGAGTGCAAGTGCTACAGCTGAACAAGCCTGTCTTAATTTAAGAGTGACTGGTTGAATGTGGGCTGCTCCGAAGTTTATCACTTCAGTGAGTGCACTTGTAAAATGAGCAGGGCTTCCTGAGCTAGGAAAGCATGTCCTGTACTCGTGATTGGCAAAGAGAGCTGAAGTGAAGGTGAAGTGTCTAAACCATCTCACAGCTCTAAAGTGCAAAGTAAAATTTGAAAATATGTTTATAAAGAAACTGGAGTTTTCAGTGGCCTTTACTCAAGGTCTCATTGTGGTAATCATCATTGTAATGGCAGCACAGAGCTGAATGAACAAATGGGCTGTATTGTAGGTCTCCTATGCTGTGTGAAAACAAAAGGTTTATTATGCTTTTTTATTCTTCATCCCCAAGCAGGTCTTTCTGTTATTGGAAAAGTTGTT